TATATATATATATATATATATATATGCTTTACAGATACAAGGCATTCCATAACCATTGCCCTTTTAATCCATGATATGAATCCTTGTCAAATATGAAATAAAAAAGGTATAAAAAATGTATAGTAAAGCGAGGAAGAAAAAAAAAATTATGACCAATCATCATCATAATATATTAAAAACATGAAAATCAGTTTGATTGCTGGAGGAAATTGCTTTGCTTTCTTCCTAGCTTAACTATTAATTTGCAACCCCCAATACGCAAAACTTTTTTTCAATCTCAATTGTATATGAATCTAAATATATATATATTACTAACAGTGATAATGGAGCTCCCTGTATCTGTGAGTAGAGAAAACTAATTTATTTCAAAGCAAGTAAAGAATTATTCCTAAAACAATTTTCATTAACTAGAACTTCCAGATAACACTAGAATAATTACTTAAACAAAAATTATATTGTAAAAAAGTTTTTAACCTTCTAAGAATTTCAGGATAAAATTAAAATCTTCTGTTATAATTATATACTTTCATGAATTCTTTCTTTAATTAGTTTACAAATGTAATGTATTAAAATATAAATGTTTTCAAAACATTTGTAATAACTATATAATCTTAAACATTTATTATAACTATATAAGCTTAAGCATAATTATCATGATTTTTTTAATTAACAAGTATATTAAATTTCATAAAGAAATTATTAAACATCATTGAAAAACAGCATTTCTGAAAACAGAAATCTCTATATTAGCATGAAGCAAAATTAAAATATTCAAATGAATATTTAATTAAGTCTAATTCAAACTGTTTTATTATCCATATACTAAAATAATTTAAAATTACAAGTCTAAAATCAACCCCCCAAGTAATTCAACATATAAATAAATTGAATGACTACATATGTTAGAGCACACTTGGTAAAATGAAAATATTAGAAAAAGTAGAAAAAAATGTAAGAATTGTTAAAATATAGGCATAAAAATGAGTAAAAATTGAAAACATTAAATATGCCAACTATGAAAAAAGTCATGCTATTAAAGTATAATATAAAGTACAAAAAGATATGAAATAGACATAGAATGCTGAAAAACAGAAAACAAAAAATTTACAAAACGTAAAAATAGCATTAGAATACTTTAAAATAGAAAACAAAGCTTTCGATAAGGAAAGAAATAAATATACTCAACACAGATGATGGAATGTAGCAACATTTGATTCAGAAAAATCAAAGTGAAATAAAATAAAATAAAGAACAATTTAACAACAAAAAGAATTCACATTTTTAAATGAACCTAAAAATAGAGAAATGAACCTAAAAATTTGTTTTTTCCCCAACCATAAAATAACCGTAATAAGAGTTTGTAGTTATAAGTTTTATATCTCTAAAAAATTCCGTATAAATTTGAATGTAGAAAACCAAAATTCAATAAGTCAGAAATAAAAATTAAATATACTCAATAATATGATTAAGTATACCTACAGGGACAATTCCCCTTCATTTATATTTTTAGAATCCGCAAAAAAATAAAGTACACACATTAAGAGTCTTCAAGTAATATTTAAGAAAAAGAGAAACAAAAATGCTATTGAAATCAAGAAATTCACTCGTGGCATAGGAAAGATAAGGGGAAAAAAAGTTTGATTGCGTAATGCAACTCGGAGGTGTTGCTTATAATCTTATTTCAATTCCTCTCAATTCTAGAGACAAACAGCTTTTAATATTTTTTCAGCCCTACCTTTCCCAGTCGTGCAATTTTTGTTTTTTCTTGCATAAATATAGTCTAATCAGCATTCTTTAATGTGTATACTTTTTCACTTTATTCTTGATAAGGAATTTAAAAATATACATTAAGGGCACATATTGCAAAACACCCTGTATAACTTAGTTGATTTCTATTTTGAAAGCTCTCAATGACTTTTATTACAATAGAAACTTTATGATTAAAATTTTATTAAACATGGTCTCACTTATTTGAACATACAAATATAATAAAAAATGATTTTTAATATAAATTAAATTAATAACAATTATAACTTTTTATCCGAAGACATTATAATTCCATTCTTATCAAGGAAAACATCAAAATTGATGTTGATAATACTCATGACTATATTAAACAATCACTTCAAATATTCGTTCACACATTCCCTATACACTATATACACACAATTGAGAAAGTTTATACACTGATATATAATTTAGTTTGCTATAGGCCATTGTGCAAAGAAAGATTATTTATAAATACCCTATTGAGTAATAGGGTGACACATAAGACTTCATGGGTTACATTAAGTACTTTCACCTAGCATTACCACTTATATGCAGCTTTGTATTACAACAGTCAGAATGCTTTTATTTCAATTTTATTGCACAATCTCGGTACAAAGTTCAAACACCTTGGTAACTGCTAATCAGCAAAAGGTAATTATTACAACAACAAAATAATTATAAATAAACAAGTTTTCTACAAATTAAGTTTTCAAAAAAAAAAGTAGAAGTAACTATTTTAAAACTATAAGAAATAAATGTTAAAATAATTATTCAGTGTAAAAACTGAGCAAATTCCCTGCAAAAATTTTTATAGGAAAAATAGTGGAGTTATGAGGAAATGCTATTAAACATGCAGAATAATTGTTAAAATTATGCACTTGGGTCAATATACAGATATGCAATGCTTTTTCAAAGGTAGCATTTTTGCATCACACTATTCTTTAGTATTATTTTCAGATACAGTCAACGCTCGATCTTACGTACTTTATGGTCTGGACGAAAATGCGAGCTATGTGAGGTTGTTACATCATGAGTGCAGAAAAATACCATAAATATTAATTTACAGCTAAAAAAGTAGTTTGCCCAATTTTTACAAAGGAATGCTTTACTTTAATAAAAAAATTGGCAGCTAAGATAAATTGGTAACAACTTAACTTTTTGTTTCCTTATTTATGTAAAGGCAAAAGTATCTTTGAAAATAATACTTCAAAGGTGAAAAATGCATTATAAATAAGGTAATGGTACGGGGCTGCCATTTTTAATAAATAACATATTTCAAGCTAACCGTGAAGAAAACCTGTTTTAACTCGAAAATAAATCACATAAGGGAATTGACATATCACAAAAAGAGTGAATGCAATTTTCAAACAAGAAAAGTACATGTGATAAATTTATTATATTGTTTGAAAAGAAAGTTACGCAGATTACGAATGACCAAAAATTACGGCAACCAAGGTCAAAAGATAAGAATTTAAGGGATCATGTCACTTGTTTTCTGGTCAAAATTCAAGGTCTTTTACATTCATGGTGTGGTAACATCAAACATTAAATAATTTAATTGAAACTTTTAATAAATCAAACGATTAAATTTTGGTTAGTTATATTGGAAGGAAGGGTTCAGTGCAGACCTTCTAATGGACTATAAAATAACATTGCGTCTATGATATAGTAAATAAAATTTTATGTATATAGGTCATTGTAAAAGAAAGGTCGCTGTAATGGAGAGTACTAAAGAGTGTAGACTATATAGTTCACAAAGATTCTAGAATTTCTGCTAGAAAAAAGCACAATACACAGAAAGACCTTAATGATTACAAGAAAATTTGCGTTTCTCATTAAAAATACTCTTCTAATTGAATTGCTCATTATCATTATAATGCCTAAATTAATTACTAACACATAGATAGACAGTTGATAAATAAAAACTGAGCAAATTTTCTAAATATTGTTGCTTCAAAATTATTGGAGTTAAGAAAATATGTTAATGAAATATATGCAGCAATCGCGAAAATTAATTATGCATTTTCAGATAAATACTATACCTAAAAATTGAAGGAAATCTAATTGTTATTAGAAAAATAATGGAGTTATGAGAATATGTTTATGAAATATGTGCAATAATAGTTAAAATTAACTACTCGTTCGTAAGTAATAATCAAGAAACCTGAACTAATTGCTCTCTTAAAGATAACTGAGTTAAAATAAATTACATAAAATATGTAGAAAAAGGACTCATGACTAGACAATTAAGAGCTTTTTTGGCATTTAAGGTTTTTATTTTAAAATTAAATAGAGAAAATTATATCGGCAATAAACTCAAAAATATCCCCTATAAACTATTGTCAACAACATACAGCATTAAGAATGGATTAAAATATATAGACATTATGATTACATGTATCTAATTTTCCAGATATTTATTGAAAGATTAGGAACTATTAATGCTCAGATGTATTTACAGTCATTGTATCATTACAATACCAATCATTATTACAATTATTTAATTTTTTTTTGCATTAACCTTATCTAACTACAGAGAAATTTACTACAAATAAGATTTAAATGTTAAAAGAAGTATACAACAAGAAACAAAAAATCAGAATTAATAATAGAAAAGAATCTCAAACATATTTATGATGAATAACCTAAATGCATAAAAGAGCTTGTAAATATAAAATACTCTGGAAATTATATTAAAAACTTTTTTTAATGTCTTTTACTTCTTATTTATGACCTAAAATAATACATCAAAAATATAATTCAGTTCACATAGAAAAATAATATATTTAATCTTACAAAGAAAAAATAATTTATAAAAGCAAATTTGTAATATTAAACGATTTATTTTCATAATTTATTTTTAAAAAAAAAATCAGAAAAATCCTTAAGCTTTAAACTAGTAAGAGTAAAACAGCATACCAAACAATTAGAATATAAAATATTAATACTATGTATGCAAAAATAAGAATAAAAAAATTTGTTCCTTTTAAAAAGAAAAAAAGTTTTTTAAATTATTATTTAATTTTTTCAACTAAGTTTATCAATTTTTTAAAGTTCTTCTTAGAAATCGTTAAGTGACACTTGGAAAACACTAAAAACTCAAAGTTGAGTTGCAAATTTGAATGTTTTAAATATATAACAAGATAATTTCTCCANAAAAAAAATTTTTTTTTTTTAAATGGCGCGAAAATTTATCGAATTTCGTTCCGGTTTTTTGGTTTTCCGGTTTTCTGATTTCCGGATAACGGGTTCTGTACTGTATTATGTATGCAAAAATAAGAATTAAAAAAATTTGTTCCTTTTAAAAAGAAAAAAAAAGTTTTTTTAAATTATTATTTAATTTCTTCAACTAAGTTTATCAATTCTTGAAAGTTCTTCTTAGAAATCGTTAAGTGACATTTGGAAAATACTCAAAACTCAAAGTTGAGTTGCAAATTTGAATGTTTTAAAATATAACAAAATAATTTCTCCAATATTTTTTTCTATTACTAAGAAAATATTTATATTTACAAAAGCTTCATAAAACCATTAAAACAAATTCACTTGCATACATAACTCTTTTTCTAAATCACAACTAATCTAATGAAAAACAAGCACTGAAATAAATTAACTTAAATTAATAAATACTATTGAATTAAAAATATTCTACACAAAGAATATTAAATTCTATTCATGAGATTATTATGCTAGAATATATTAAGCTTTATTAAATAAGTTATGGCAGTACTAAGTAGGAAGTTATAACAATTTAAACAATAACTGTTACATGAAACAGCCCTAAAAGATGCAGTTAACAGTTTAAAAATCAGTCAATATCTCATCAGAATTAATTAATATCTTTTACAGTAAACTAAAAATTACTTAGTTTGGCACTAGCATAATACCATTATAATTTAATATAGAAAGAATAAAAATTAGATGAAAAATATACTAAATTATAAATCATGGATTAAACTTTACAATCCCCATCAAAAAATAAAATAACTTTTTTTTCCACTTTTTTTAAACGGATTTAATACATCAAGATGGTTTTGTGTAATCGTGCAGTTATTTTTTTAATAGTTCTCTATAGGTAATCTTAAAATGAAAAATATAAATTACTAAACTAGATATATACAAAAGAAAAAATAGATAAATAAAAACATATGTTTTTGTCATACGATTTAAGAGAAAACTTTTAACAGAAATTAGCACTTTTTAAACTAAACTCAAATCTTGATGTTTCATTTAAATTATAAACAGGATAGGATATATCTTTTCTAAGTTAATATATTGACATAATAAAAAAAATATCAACCTTAATCTGATTTTGTCAATTAATAAAAAACTCAGATAAAAGCTGATTTTAACTTTAATTACATATTGTAACATAAAAACTATACCTCCAACACGACAATAAACTTAAAAATATATTAATACTTATTTACATCACAAGCAATGCTTAATTTACAATATTATTAAACCAAAAGTCATACTGAAATATTCAAATATTTTTTTAAACCAAAAATCGTTAAGACCTCAAAATGTCAGTTTTTGGATTTTTATTATCCTTAAAATATACCAAAACACTATTGATATATTATTAGGATTACATAAAGGGAGAATTTATGTATCACTTGATTAGGTAAATTAAAGATGTATATGGAGAACTTTTAAACAAAACAGAATATTTACATTTTAATGAGAGAGGGAAAAAATTATACAAGAGGGAAAAAAATACACTTTTCACCATACAAAAAGGAATCACTGAGCAACAATTATAATTTTAAATTTGCAATCTTTAAATACAAGGGGCTTTCACAATTAAATTAGTTTAACATTAACTATTACTAAAAGTTTCATAATCAGCATATTATAATATTTTAGAAAATTCTTCAACATTCTGACTGTGAAGGGTAGATGGCAGAGTTACGATCTAATAAGCGAACAACTTCTATTAAGTGCTCTGTTAAAACATCTTGATCCTGAAAAATTACAATGAAATATAAATTATAAAATTATATATTATTTGCGGATATGAAAAAAAGAACTAATAAATAGTCAAGCAAAATTCTCAATAGCTTACTTTGGAATTTCTTTTAAATGATTTTTCAAAATCTTCCTGTGCACTATAAAAGTTAAAAATGACATCAAATATCTCTAAAAGAAATTACCTTTTTATATGGAAAATAAATAAATAGAGAATACAATTTAATTTCTGCTGGTTGCATTTCATTGTAATTCAAAAAAGTGTTTAAAATCAAGTAAGCAATCTTTAAATACATGTAACTACCCTTTTTAATTTCTTCCAGGTGTGTTCCTTATGTTAACTGTGCTTATGGGTTTCAATAGATAATCCAGTAGAAGTGTTGATTATTTGTGGAAATTGGAGTCATGTCATTCTCAAATGGACAAAAATTTCAGTTGCATAAATTTTATCCATTTCTATTTGCAATCAACATTTAAAACAATGTTTTACGAAAATGCAAAAAAGAAGAAAAAGAATAATAAATAAAAAAAATTTGCTAAAAATACAAAAAAAAAAAAAAAAAAAAAAAAAAAAAAAAAAAAAAAAAAAAAAAAAAAAAAAAA